AAATTGTGATGTTCTGTGTCATCATGTGTATGCTCATTTTATCTTATTGGCAATGACCTAAACCAAGAGTTTTTGAACTCGCAATAATGAAGTCGGTCATCTGAAATAATTGATGACATTTTAGAAGTGTAAGAAGTCTTATCAAAGAATCAATCAGCCTTCACTCTCAATTTTTGTCTCTTGGATGACCCTGACTGCAAAGCTTGGACAGATTGGTCAAAGAACAGTTTCTCAAAATCCATACGTAATTTGTCTCATTTCTTTCTTCTTCAGTATATACCAAAACTACACAAACTGATATCTCTTGTAATTAAGTGTTCCGCTCTTTTTGGCATTTCCCTGTCTAGTATTTCAAAAACCTTCCATGCTGTAGTACAAACATCCAATAAATCTATACAGTCTATTGTGTTCCTTGGTCCTGACCATTTGAGCAGGGAACATATTATACTTTCACACAATACTTTATTCTCAGAAATATTCTTTCGAGACAAAGTGACCGCCTTAATAGATGGTACATATATTTATCTTGAAAAAGGAGCATAGCTCTACCTGATGGCTACATTTTGGACGCAGTAGGACTTTTTCTCTGGAAGCCAAAATGATGCAAGCATTACAAAAACATCATAGACAAACGCACGTGGTTGAAGCAAGACGACAACGTAGTCGTTGATCGTGGTTTTAGAGATGTCCTGCCAATATTAGAGGCATCTGGTATTAATACCAGTTTGCACTCATATCTTAAGTACAAGCTAACATTGACAGAACAGTTACAAAATCCCTATGGATTGTAGAGCCTATTTTATGACCGTCTTAAGCATTGGATAGTTTTTAGAAATAGATTAATATCAAATTGCTTCATTGATAAACGATACGTTACTGTGAATTACGTTACCATTGAAGGTGTCGGACTTTACGTTACCATTGAAGGTGTCGGACGTCGCGTTACCATTGAAGGTGTTGGACGTCGCGTTACCATTGAAGGTGTCGGACGTCGCGTTACCATTGAAGGTGTTGGACGTTACGTTACCATTGAAGGTGTCGGACGTTACGTTACCGTGAATTACGTTACCACTGACGGTATCGGACGTTACGTTACTGTGAATTACGTTACCATTGAAGGTGTCGGACGTCGCGTTACCATTGAAGGTGTTGGACGTCGCGTTACCATTGAAGGTGTCGGACTTTACGTTACCATTGAAGGTGTCGGACGTTACATTTCCGTGAATTACGTTACCACTGACGGTATTGGACGTTACGTTACCGTGAATTACGTTACCACTTACGATGTCAAACGTTACGTTACTGTGAATTACGTTTAGTTACCACTGACGGTATTGGACGTTACTTTCCTGTTAATTACGTTACCACTGACGATATCGGACGTTACGTTACTGTGAATTACGTTACCACTGAATGTGTCGGACGTTACGTTACCATGAATTATGTTTAGGTACCACTGATGGTATCGGACGTTACGTTACCGTGTATTACGTTTAGGTACCACTGACGGTGTCGGACGTTACGTTACCGTGAATTACGTTTAGTTACCACTGACGGTATCGGACGTTACGTTACCATGAATTATGTTACCATTGAAGGTGTCGGACGTTACAATACCGTGAATTACGTTACCGTTGGCGGTATTGGACGTAACATTACCATGAATTACGTTACTGTCGGCAATCTCGGACGTAAAAGCCCTCTCAACCCTAGCCGCGTTGCTACTGCGAATGCACGGCATTGTAAAATTTCCCAGAGCGCCGTGAGATCGCAGGGAAAATTGATATTTTTCATGAAGATGTCGATGTCACGGCGTTCTCACGGCGACCTTGGCGTTTCTACGAAGCTCCATGGCGTTTCTACGAAGCTCCATGGCGTTCTACCGCGTTCCTACGGAGTTCTATTTGGCGATTGTCTGCGCTCTCATGGCGCTCTCACGGCGCTTCCACTGCGTCCATCGAGTTGTCACGGCAATTTATAAGCGCGGTAGAGACGCTGTGACATCTCAGAGAACGCCGTGCAAGCGCCACCGATAACCATTGCGTTCGCACTGCGACCTCTGTGCGCGCCCGCGGCGATCCTGTGGCGTTGTTGGAGACCTAACTGCAATGCTACGGCGACCTCACGGCGGATCCCACTGCGTTCTTATCAGAACGTCGAGCGACATACAGGGTCAAGACTTCCCTGCCGAAGAGAAGCGTGTTCACCATACTCGCATGCTTGGTACACATTCATCCTGGTGTTGATGGCTAGCATAGAGTTTTCCCATTCCCCCTTTATTAGGCGAGCCACTGCTGTGGCTGCATGCTTTGCCAATTCGAGTGATCAATTTGGCGTCTCAGGAAAGGTTAGTTGATTTTTTAGAACAAAGGTAGGCAAAGTCCTCAACTATCTCAAGGGTCGAGTCACCGTTTGGGGGTGCTGCTGACGTCTTGACCCATGATGTAGGTCTTATTGAGGCTGATGATAAAGCCAAACGTTATTCAAGCGGTAACCAAGCAACTTCTGGGACAATGCAAAGCTTCCTCAGTATGTGAGGTCAGGGCAGCGTCGTCTGCAAACAGAATCTGATCAGTAATGTCCGCACCTCGGTCTTTGAACGAACGCGTACAAGGTTTAAAATGTTACCATCGCCCCACCCTTCCCTCTCTGACTGGCGGAGGGCGTAGGGTAGCAGCATGGGGAAGAAGCAATACCAGCGTTGGTGCAAGTACACAGCCATGTTTGACTCTGCTCTTGATTAGGAATGGGTCGTTGGAAGAGCCGTCGTACTAGACGATACATTACATATCTTCGTGAAAGGACGTTATCATCGTTAAAGGAATTGGGTGGGGTTGAGGAGGGGGGTGTACCAAATCCTCTATAAAAATGTGAACTGACCCTTCCTCCTGACCAGGCCAAAAGCTTTAGTCAGGTCAATAAAGCAACGTATAGTTGACCCTCTGTTCGCGACACTTTCCTTGCAGCTGTCTCGGTGACAATATCATGTCGATAATTGATCTTGACGCTCTGAATCAACACTAGGTTTCGCGATATACACGTTCTGCTAGAGCCTTCATTCTGTTCAATAATACATGGGCGAATGCTTTCCCATTGATGCTGAGGAAAGATTCTTAACAAACATACGAATCCAGCAATCATTCTTATTTCGTACTTTAACATTTTAAAACAAAATGTTTGCTTTCGTTGTTATCATATTGTAAAAATTGTAAAAAAATGTATTGGTCATCAGAAGCTCAAACAAATGAAAAGGATTTTCACGGTGTAGTTATTATTGAAACTCTTGAAAAACTCATATTGAAATCTGTAAAATATTCAATAACAGGTGAAAATACAAGATCATGTAACGCTTTGGGGGAAGTGTGAAGTTTGTATGATGTTGTCTTAGAAATTGAATCTAGATGTATTGAATCAATTCTGTGTCCACATTGTGATCGATGAACTAGCTATTTCCTCGTGTTTTTCTTATCACTGAGTTTTTCAGTGTTCCGGCTAGCAAGGGATAACAGGGCGCCGCGTCATGTCTTAATTTGTATGACATGTATGGCTTCCTGCTCTTTTTACTTACTCCCTGTCCATTTCATTGGTTAATAATTCTGTTGACTGTATTTAAAAACTGAACCAGTAAGATATGTCCCCAAGCGTAGTTTAACTGAACGTTCCCTCACTACAGCCAGTAACTGCCGAAAACCCCCAACAATTTGTTTGTTGTTTTTATTTTTGGTTTTCTGTTTTGTTGTTGTTGTTTTCCCCCCATCAGAAATTACATACAAGTAGACCAGAGACGTATATACTACTGGTTGTATATACTCTGATATAAATCCTCCCCCCCCCCCACACACCACCACCACACACATATATATATTTAATTTACATTTCCACTGCAAGTTCCCCTAAAAGCAGTACCAAAAGAAAATGCATTCATCGAGCTATGAACGCATTTGATCGGTGTCATGTTGAAGCTTCTCCTCCCACCTTGAATAAGACGAGACAACCGTCAGAAGTAAACATGTTTGTAACGTTATAGTGCTGTTCCTGGAATCCGGTTTGTACTGACGACCCAGACGTTTCAATAACAGATATATAAAGGAATATCTTCATGTAATTATGTCAATAACAACTAATGTTTATGAATGTAAATATAATTATGATACGTATGTAACCGATTTGTGTTCATACCGGCGTGAACATTGAACAAATACCGTTCAATCCTGATATAAGTTAAGTTATGGACCCCCATGCTTAATTAGTTTTTAATTATAAGCTCTGTTATTACAAATCAATTTTCGATCAATCGATCTATAGTGTTTATCAATCCCGATTTTAAATGACACATCGTCATTATACAACAACAAAGTGTTGGAATATTAAAGAAGATTTTTTCCCTTATTTCAGTGTTGAATTATGACAGAAAATTCTTTAAAACAAAGACTTCTCCTCTTCAGTAAGTACTGTAAATAATATAATTTATTTGGCAATATATATAATGTGCATCTTTATAAACTCTGCGTTTTAATAAAATCACGGAATTAGATTAGTCCGTGATAAAATGAATACTGATCGACATATATATATATAAAAGGCTATAGGGGCAAAATAGTCCTAGGGGCTAAACTGCAGACTTGAGGGGTATATTCGCAGCCGGTTACACCATATTAAATAAAGGGTCGATGCATAAAATAATTTTAATATAGAACTTTAAAATTATAAAATAAATCTGTTCTTTTTGGGAATGCAGTCCTATATACTAGGATATGTGATTGCTCCAAAATTAAAACAGCTAAACATCAGTAATATTCCTTTCTACTCGCTTATAAAAAGTAATTTCAAAACAAAATATATTTCTATTATTAATGTTTTATGCTACATCTATATTTTAAACACCACGTATATATGTATACACCCTCAAGCATGTGTTACAAAATAAGTGTATAAGTCCGCAAGCATCAACGCATTGCATTGTGGGAAAAGTAATGACATCATATCTCATTTACATATTCAGATTATATTGTACATGTTCGCCATTTTGGTAGTGAAGATTTTGTGAGGCTACCATCCGAAGAATCCACTTAAAATCGGCAGTCATCGGTCCTTTTAGGGATTATATTAAGGATTACCCATAGTCTTTTGACATCACCCAAGCGAACGGACCTGTGTAAGTAATGCATTATTGGTTCAGATTGTTAATATTTTGATTTGTTTACAACTTGTCTCACCGACCTCTTTTGTCATGCATAGTCGCCGATCATGTCCGACGCTTACTTGCATAGCGTCATTTCATACCATGGTAACAAAAACGGTTTACTTTCATGGAAAGTTTGAGCATGTATTTACATTTTATTTCTGCTACCTAATTCGAATGCATCTTTTTGTTATGAAATGCATAAAGAAACTCCTTATAATTAATTTTCTTCCATGCTGGCCTTAGCATAAAATTACGATTCAGTTGAATGATACTGTTATTATAAAATCGTCATGTTTTGCTGTTTAAAACTGTACTTCAGCCTTTCTCTCATATATATGAGGAAATAGCAACTTAGTTGTATTAGAAAGGTAATTTCTGTACCACAATATGAAACGAATATATAAGAGATATTTGAGGATTTCTGAGAACCCATTCATGGTGGGGAACGGTCGTTATTTTCGTTATATTTGCAAAAACGTGAGGCCTTCGATGAAAAAATTAGATCATATGGGCTAAGGTAAAGCGAAATGGACTGATGTGCAAATTTAACAACTGTTTTCGGAATTATGCTTACGTTGAAAAATGTAGTATTTTTTCTTATTGAAAAGGTAGGTCATGAATCAACCTCCGCAGCTAGGAATGTACCGGTAACTGTACCTGTTGACCCACTTCCTGTTGTACAATTATGGGTGGAGTTTCGAAAAATATTGTGATATCCACAGACTATTTGTACAAAGAAGTCTTTGTTTCGAATGGTGATATCCTACCAGAAGTTGCTAATTAATATTCACAGCAAATTCATTGATTGAATCATTGATGGACCATCTGTCACATTTCAAGCATTCACATGCCTATGATTAAACATGTGTCAACCTGTAGGTTATTTATTGGAAATGTTTTTCTTTGTGTTCTGTTGAAGTATAACTACTATTTCACTAACGAGGTTGCTTTCAAAGTTTGGTTCCTACTGATTTTCAGTATTTTTAAGCAAAATTGTTACTTTTCTTGTTGTGTAAAAATCAGTACAAAAAATGTATGTGTGAATCAATGTCATTTTGTCTTCATGTGTTTTAAATATCATCAGGACCAGCAAATGTACTAAAGATTTTTATAGAACATGTGCTTTTAGTCTCTCAGGAATTACCAAGATGCATCCATTCATTCAATAACTTTAAAATGGTGACCAGTTTATTGCTCCTCGGCTTTCGGCAGCTACTTGTGGTCCAGTTTGTTTGTAAACAGTAAAATTGTTCTTTCAATGGTATGAATTGGAACAGTTCAGAACTTCTTAAATACCAGAAATATATAACACTGTATGATAAACATGTTATTCGTGAAATATGTAAGATTCAAGTTCAATTTGGTTGGGGAACAGATCTTGAACAACATAAATTGTTCTTAGAGTAATTAGATCCAAAGTCTTTGTCAACTCGTATAAGTATCAGGGAAAGGACAATGCACTGACACCACATCATGATACCTTTTGTAATATTTTTTTTTTTTGTCCTGGAAAGCATTATGGTTGCTTTTTTGAGCACATATTAAGAATTCTTTTCTCCCATGGACAAAGTTGTACTTTCATGTGTTAGTTCATTCTAATGTTTTAATTTGTGATAAGATTAAGAATGTTATTAATACGAAAAATAAGAATATTTGAAAAGATTTGTGATAACTTGCATTTAGTTATGTTGTGTAAGTATTGCCAGGAGTATTCCATTCAGTATTAAGAAGTAGAGGCTAAGTGAAGTATTTTGTGAAAAAGAACGCTCTCAGTCCAACTTCCATATAGATAAACATATGTTGGTGGTATAGACAAAGGCACAATGATATACAAATACAATTTTTCAATTTGATTCAAATGTTTATATCATTAGCCAACATCAAACATCACACGAGTATATGTGTGGGTTTCTTGTTGTGCGAATATATAGGTATGAGATGGCGTCTGATAGGCTAAATGATTATAACTGGTGGTCAATTGCAATGGTTGTCTTATGTAAATTTAAAATACGAATTGGCGATAAACTTGTTATTAAAGGTGATTTTTTTCTTTTGTGTCTTCAGAATTCAACAAATTGAACCTATTTTCAGAATTAATCAGTTTAACTTTTGAAGTTGGTAACATTATTTTATAATTTAGTATCAACATATAGTTTTACTTGAATGAAACATAGCAGGTTTTACTCGTGGTGGAAAACTTGGTAATTGAATGAAGTGCATCTGGTTTAGATTAGGGGAATTCTTTAATAGGTCCTATCCTGTTGCATTACCAAAATGAGGGGTTTAATCTTCCATGCATGTACATGGGTGATAGGAAATGTAGCACACAACTGTTGGCAAGCATAACATGATACAAATTTGTATGGAGTCTTAAAACTAAATACTAATTTTGTTCTATTTCAGTTTTTAACGGTTCGTTCATAGGGTAAGAGGGAGAAAATCTTCAATGACAGCTAAGGCAAGATGTCCTCACTCTCGGGGTTAGGTAAAGGTGACAGAGGAAGGGGAAAGTACAAATCTATAGATATAAATACCCTATATCAAGGCAAAAGTGTACCAACACAAAAAACTACAGGTAAGTTGGATATGTGCTTATGGTTACTGTATTGATTCCAAATTATTAATGTATTGATTAGAATGTGTGGTACCCTTTTTAAGATGTGAATTTGACTAATATTTATAGTATGAACTATGTCAAGATACATGTATAAATAGTTAATATAAACCCTTTAATTTACTGAGATGTTAGTTGGCCAATGCCAAATGTACATGTGAACAGTGATTCTGTCATAAATCAATCCGTTATATATATATATCTGTGTAGAACAGTGTATTCTCCCGGGAGAAAGAATTGCACACTATTTCATTTTGATTCTAAAGAAACTTTCTTTTTAACTTTAGTGCCTTCAAAAATGTCAATATTATTGTGTTATGTATTTGAATTATTTCCTGTTCCACTTTTAGTTACTCGTCAGCATGGGTTACAAAGCCTGGGTAAAGTGGCAAATGTGCGGCGCATGCCGCCTCCGGCCAACTTACCAAGTTTGAAAAGTGAAAACCTTGGAAACGACCCAAACGTCACTCTTGTTCCAACCGGAGGATCAGGTAACTTTTCTTTCAACAAAGCATTCATTATTAAAGATTCACCCTTCTACAAGAAAGAATATGATGTTTTAAAAAATAATATCCTGCAAATGATAGCATAAGCCAAAATTTTGGCATACATTTACTTAGTAATTACTTTTTCCTATTGCAATATACCTTATGTCATTGGGTTGACATTATAGGATGGGGCACGAAGGAGAAAGAGCAGGAGAAACAAAACACCAGTACGAATCAGCAGCCATCGTCGCAGCCGCAGCAGGCTACCACACCGTCATCGGGGCAGAACGTCAGCAGTGTAGGTGTCATTTATATTCCAACAAAAATAGAAACAATTTCAGCAATTAATTATTTGCTTTGAGTAGTTGGTGTTTTTTAAAAGAGTATTAATTAAAAAACTATAACACAATAATGTTTCTGTAGTACCAACAGATCTTTCATTAGTTGTTAAAGATGATACATAAAATTCATTACAATGCTATCTCTTATGCAGCAGGCAGGTGTTGCTGGGGGCACAACAACTGTTGCAGCAACATCAGTATCAACACCAACAACAACAACAACAACAGCAGGGGCAGGGGGCAAGCCATCATGGAGCAGTGTGGCAGTTGGGGACACAGCAAAGGGCAATGTTGTCAGTCACCAGTCACCAATGTTTCAGGAGGAGTTTCCCACATTAAAATCAGCAGAGGACAAAAAAGATGGCAAGAAGGAAGACGAACCACCTTCTCAGGTTGTAACAAAAGATTTGCCATATGGACCAGGGCCAAGTTTACGACCTCAAAGTAAGTGAAACATTTTAGTATGCTAGAGGTTCTGGGAATATTGATATTACATGTTTAAGTTTTATGTATAAAAAAAAAAGGGATTATGTCCTATGTAGAATTGTCTTTTGGTGTATTCTGTTGAAAACTAACAAAGTCAAAATGAAAGTCTGAACACTTTTCCAGGAATCCTTTTGGTAAGCATTTTCTGAACTGTGCAAATAATCTTTTGTAACTCGTTATATAAAGCTTTGTAAATACAGTTTTGATGTAAGCAGCTGTTAAAACACCATTGAATATCCATATTGTAGTAACTATTATAGCTAATGCCTAACTCTGTTGGTGAGTTTTACAGAAATGAGTGCTTTTATATAACACAAGGTGTCTTTGTTTTCAAGATGTAGGGAGTTGGCGAGAAGGAGGGGGGCGTGGCGCTATGCAGCAGCAGCAGCCCAAACCAGACACACCATCATCTCAGAGTTCTCCACAACCAAGCCAGACAGAAACACAACAGAATGGCCCCCCGACGTCCGGTGGCCCTCCAACTTCCAGTGGGGCTGACAGCCCTGGGACCCAGCAAGTGCCACCAAGGCCTGGGTCCAACCAAGGTCCTGGTGCTCAGGGGCCAATGCCTATGGGACCGCACATGGCCATTCCCCCGCAGTATAGGATGATGCCACCCTATGTAAGATTTCATTATGATTTCATCAAAATTATTTATTTTTAATCCGCTCTTGGCGAGAGCCGAGTGGCATATTAATTCTGTCCAGATAATGAAATGACGGATCCACTTTCGTTCGGGGTGCGTGCGCATAATTCAGTCTTGCATGCTTACGCTATAGTTTCGTTATTGTAAATAGAAAGTAGAATCTCTGACACTCACCTGTGGGTTACATGTTGCAAATGCTAGAAACTTTTAAAGAATGTTTTTTTGCTTTTTGACAGATGTATGGAAGATTTCCACCAGGGTACCCACCAAACTATTCAGGAATGCCACGACCTCCATACCCATATGACTCCAGGTTGGTTTCACGAGCATAACAGATTTGATTGAAACATGTGCAAAGATAAAGCTAAAAAATTATCTGCAAGAAAATGTGATGAAGTGTAGCTTTTTTTTATTTCATAAGTAACTTTACTCTATTTATAAAACCATGTGATCGGTCAAATTCTCAATTACACCAACAATTAAATTATTTGTAGATTTAGACATCCTGGGCCCATGCAGATGCAACAGAGGCCCCCATTGGACAGCAGTGAAGAGGGATACAAGAGGCCCCCTGTCATCACGGACAAGGACCTTAAGAGTTTTGACAACATGAGACTTGACAAAAGTGATGAAGGCTGGGCTGGTGCTCAGGGAGACATTGACTACTCGTAAGATCTTGCTATGCATTTTGTATTGTAGAATATCCCTAGTTGATGTTGTGGTTTGTTTACTTAGTTAAGCAGTTAGTTGGTCATGTTGAATTGTAAAATCTGCCTATTATTATAATGGAACCATATTCAGGTGAGCTCTGCCTTATTTTCCATGTTCTGATTTTAAAGTATATCTGCTACAGGAAACAAATTAGCGAAACGAAAACACGGCATTTAGTATCTAATAAACAATATTGTGAAAATGCAATGCATGTCGATATTGTAAAACTAGTTTTGTGTGGTTGTGGATAAGTATCCCTATCACTTATGTATAGCTCATCACTAGTCTAGAAAGCTACATGATGCTGATCACTATATAAAAAAAAATGAGAAACAATGACACAATTTTATCAATTACCCAACTTGCTCAATATGTTAGCTGTTGACATGATCACAGTCATCTTTTGTAAAAAAATATTGATTCCCCTTATTCTTCCTTCTTTCCAAGCAGTTCTTTCTCACCAAACACACCTCACTAAAAAGAAAACATAAATGAAGGTCAAAATTTTCTACTCAAAAATTATTCAGTGTTGTGTTAGTGTAAACACTACAGATATGGGCATGTCTGTTTGGATATGTTATTGTATGTGTAACTTTTGTGTGCATGTTTATGTTGTAGCTGTTGGAAACTGTCTTGGTCAGCAGACATTGGTAACCAGTTGAGCTATGTTTTACAGTAGTAATCATTCAGCACCAGTATTTTGACCTGGTCTTGTTTGAAAATAAGGGGTTCGGGACATAAGTAACATTATGATATGAAAGAATTTTAGGAATTAGATGGCAGATGTACATAATCTTGTGCTCTGGAGAAAACACCACCATACTAACACATCCAAAAATGAGGTTTTTATTCTGTTTTGGACAAGAACAAAAGCATAATGTCTTTAGAAACAAACATTTTTTTCTCAAACAAAGACCATAGGACAATTAAAGTGATTCAACAGAAATGGCTGATCCTGTCAAATAAATATTACAATGTCATCAACATAGGGGAAGTGAAATTGATATTGTAAACATTACTGCATTAGAATGGTAGTGGGTTCTGCGTTGAGTTACATTCTGCTGTTAGCCATAATATTAATAATAGTTGTATATTATTTTTGTAGGGAAAAACTTGTGTTCAGTGATGACGAGGAAGGCAATGAAGGAAGACGGTAAGTTATAAACCCTTCATAAGCTTATTGGTTAAATTTTGAGCATTGTCAAAGGTATTGGTAAGATTCCGTTAAAACATTCTTACTGCTACTCTGCATAATTTGCAATTTGTTCTTGTAAGGAGCACTTGCACATGTAATTTGTTTAAGATACCATCAAGATAATTAATATAAATATATCATGACATGTGGCACCATTTCCTATGTACTCATCATATTCAACATTTTGATGTTAAAACAGCAAGGTTTTAAAATTCATTTATAATTATAAACTTTTGACCTATCATCCTTAAAGTTATGAAATTAGATATTTTATCAATTGCAATATACAAACATTTTCAAAATGCCAGCCTTCAAGAATATGGTTTAAGTATATTTTTTTTCCATTTTTCGCATATCAGTCAAGGGAAGAAGAAGCACCATGAGCATTCAGACCACTCTGGCAAAGCTAAGGCAAGTGGTGATAACGACGAGGAGGACAGAGATGATATGTCCAAGGTATATTGGGAAACATCCTTCCTGTTTCATCTCTCTGCAGCAGGAGCTCATCAACTTGCACCTTACAGACTAGGGCTCATTGCAAGCCAGCCACTCTCTCATTCACAATAGCTTATTAATTGTTCTTCTCTTCATAAATCTTTCAGGCATCAAATGGTCTATGTTTGTTGGTCATTGCATAAAGCAATTTTGTAACAATACTTTATAAAAATTACTTGATGGAATAGCATTGCATCCTGACCTTAATGGTTGTTGGACTCTAACAAAATTTTGAGATTGTTTCTCTGTAACAAAACCTTGCGAGTATCATTTGAGAGCAATTGACTCAAGTAGCATTTAAACTTCTTCTTTGCTATCGTGAGCATGATGCCAAGAAGATACTGATCTTTTGAAGAATCATATTGTAAGATATTCTTTCCTAAAAGATGAAGTCGATCTGCATTATTAACAAACTCTTATATAACTCGCATCTGCTTATTCATTATAAAGCACTTGTATAACCAACTCTTCCACAAATGCTGAATATATTGAACACATCTCAAGAGTAAAGCTAGACATAAGTATGATTCTGATCAGTCTGACAAAAACCCAATTGTTCGTGCAAGTTATTTTAAAAGAATAAAACTCTGAATAAGGTGTACTCTACCTGTTCAAAAGTTTTTATTGACACAGCTCTAAACTTTCTGGAAAATACAAAATATCACTTCATCAGTTGAATCTGAAAGAAAATTTGATGTTTAAACAGTTGTTGGTGAAAATTAAGTCATGAAAAGTTCTTTGTGTTTGATCATATTTTAATTTCTATTCATCAGAGATTAGTGTCTGTGAACTTAACTTATTTCTTTATATTGAAGACAAGATCAACTGAACCTAATATCTTTATGGTTTAGTGTGTAATGCATATGTTTCCATGAACAGTCCATATTTGTGTATTTCACTAGAAATAATTAATATATTTAAGAAAGTTTTTCTGTGTTTTATTATCATCTTCGCTTTTGGAGATCAATGTTAAATAATTAATAATGTAATTTGCAGTTAAAACATACTTCCCTAATGTTATGAAAGCGAAGAAACAACTTATGAATTTTCACTTGATATTTAACTAATTCACAATACTGTATTGCCATTCAGGGTGAACATGGTCCCTCTATGTCTCGAGAAGCATGGGGCCAAGGACAGATACCACCTCAGTACAGAGGACAACCACGACCACCCCACCCTGGCATGGACGGGGTAAGTTTATCTCGCATTATGTCTCCCTTTCGAATGAAGGGAGACATATTGTAAAAGTACTGGTTCTTCTTGTTCTTCTAATCGCAACTTGTCCGGGCCATAACTTTTAAACTGTTAAAGATGTCTTGATGAAACTTTAGGTATGCATGCATCACGCATAGAAGGTGTGCAGTGCATTGGAATTAGGTTACTGTGACCTTCACCTCGAGGTCAAAGGTAGGATAAGTGCAACATTTTCAGCAAATTCTTGTCTGGCACGTACATTTTTAACCGCTAAAGATACCTTGATCAAACTTGAAGTATACCTGCATCACCAACAGAAGGTGTGCAGTGCACTAGAATTAGGTCTCATGCTTCACTATTTACAGAGTTATGGCCCTTTGTTTAATTTTAATACCGAAGTTTGTCCGGAGCATAAGTTCCATGTATTTCACCTACGATGACCAAACTTACCATACATATGTATCTTGGGAAGGCGGAATTTCTCGCACTAAAATCAGGAATTATGCCCCACTATATATAGAGTTATGGCCCTTTGTTTATTTTTTACACCTAAGTTTGTCCACAGAATAACTTCTAAACCATTAAAGATATCTTGATCAAACTTGAAGTATACCTGCATCACCCACGGAAGGTCTGCAGTGCACTAGAACTAGGTCTCATGCTTCACTATATACAGAATTTTGGCCCTTTGTTTAATTTTTATACCGAAGTTTGTCCGGAGCACAAGTTACCTGCATCACCCACAGATGGTGTGCAGTGCACTGGAACTAGGTCTCGTGCCTCACTATATGCAGAGTTATTGCCCTTTGTTTATTTTTAATACCGAAGTTTGTCCGGAGCTTAAGTTCCATGTTATTTCACCTACGTTGACCAAACTTACCATATTTATGTATCTTGGGAAGGTGGAATCTCTCGCACTGAATTCAGGTTTTGTGCCAAACTATATACAGAGTTATGGTCCTTTGTTTATTTTATTTTTGATACTGAAGTTTGTCAACGGCATAACTTCCATGTTATTTCACCTACGTTGACCAAACTTGCTATAGTTTTAATGTATCTTGGGAAGTAGGAGTGTTGCATTCTAAATTTTGGTCTCGTGCCCCGCTATATAAAGAGATATGGCCCTTTGTTAATTTTTTATACCAATGTTTGTCTATTGGCTAATAAAGGGAGACATATGTTTTTGTTTACAAAAACAAAATTCTAGTTCTTGATTGTTCTAAGTGAAACATTTGTCCTCTCAGACAATACTAGTAATGAAGAAGTACCTACAGATCTTTACTGGACCATAAGTTGCACTGTCAACATTGATATTTTGTCTGTTGATTTTTTTATGAGAGCTGAAATGTATTTTATTTCCTAATTACAGCGTTGGCAGATGCCCCCTTATGAGTTTATGGGTCCACCACCAAGGGGACCCCCTTATCCGCCACCGTACAGGGTACCTCCAGGTGCACCTCCACAGGTAAGACCAATTGTGTAGTTATAAAAACACATTTATTTTCTGACACAAGTTGCATTCTTGGTTTATGTGAGCTTGGTATGGAATTTGACAATAAACGATTTCAAAAACAAGTTTTGCCAAATGATGACCAGTGTTTATGCTTAGTTTTTACAAAGATGACAATTTCATCACTCACCGAACTGATGGCATAACATATGAAATTTACATATGAAATAAAATGATCAAGTTATTTCCATGTACAGAATCTTTGATATGTTGCAATACAGCTCAAAATACTATGGTGAAGATAAAGACTGGTTTTATGCCATAGTGTATTTAGAAGAAGATTTTGAAAATAATCAACCAGGCCTTTATAGCAGGATCTGCAGCAAATAAAAGTAAAGTTTGTTGTAATTTGGTGCAGATAAGACTGGTTTTATGCCAAGGTCTATATAGATAAATATCAAAAATTATCAACTAGGACTTTCTAGCAAGACCTACAGCAGATACAAGTACTGCTTGTTGTAATTTGTCAATATTGACCTTGTCTCAATCAAATCTTTTTCTCCGCGTCAGCTGAAAGAGGACGCAATATATTCTGGTTTCTTGTCCTGCAGTGGCTACATATTTAACTGGCTTATAAATAATCAGTTTTATGAGACAAAGTGCAAAATAAGAATTATCCATTAAGAATTTGCCAAATTTAGGTATATGCCAAATGATGACCAGTGTTTATGCTTAGTTTGTTACAAAGATGACAATTTCATCACTCACCGAACTGATGGCATTAATTAGTTAAACATGTGTTTCTTGAAAGCCTCTGATGATGAGAGGGGATTTTAGTTAAACCTATGTACATGATTAAGATATCAAGAATTTGGTATTAGTTTTGGTGATATATGAATGTTTAAAAATATACAGGTTTTGTAACAAGCTTCATAGCTAGTAGAAATATGTGTGCATAAGTCAGCATGTATCCCATGTCTATCTGTTGTGTTCAAGACCATGACCAAAGTAGCTGTTTGCATTAAAAAAAAAAAGAAGTTAAGTAATTTTAAGTCTCTTAACCTTCAAGTTCCATGAAGCCAAAGGATGATTAGTGTTTAACATTAGTTTTGTACGAAGATGACAATTTCATCACTCACCGAACTGATGGCAGTCATTGAAACTTGATGTTTAAGTGAAGAATTTACCTTTTGTAAATGCTTGTGCTTTTTTTTTAAAGAAAATCCCATTACACCAGTTTAAATTACTGCCCATTTATGTTTAGAATATCATTGAACAGAATGACCACCTTTGATGTTGCTCAAATTTGTATCAAATATTGATCTAAGCAGTCAGTAAGGTGAAGATGAGATTTATTACAACAAATTAATTAGTGGTAATACAACATTTCTATCGGTTTCATGTTTGTTGTGTTATAACTAAACCAAATTATATATGCTCCACAGAGACCACCATTTCCACAGCAACAACCTGCCATGCCACCTATGAGTGCAGCCAGCACACCTTCTCAACAGCAGTCCTCTGCACCTCCGCAGACACCGAGTCCTGGACCAAGTCCTGGACAGAGTCCAAGTCCTGGTCAGCCACAGACTCGGGAGCGAGAGAAGAAGCACTCAGGTGGTGGAGATGAGGAGGATGAGCACTGGAGGCAGAAACGCCAGCAGCGAAATGAGGAAGTGTCCAATGCCATTGAGCGTGCCAGGCAGAGGAGAGAAGAGGAGGAGAAGAAGATGGAAGGAGATCGCAAGGCAGCTGCAGCTGAGAAACTCAGACAGTTGGACGAGAGAACTAAGAAAAAGGATGGAAAAGTTTCCGTAAGTTCATATTTGTCTGATCTAAAATAGATTAAGATGTTTTATTCAGTGGCCAAATGATGACTTGTGTTCTAGCTTAGTTTTTTACAAAGATGACAATTTCATCACTCACCGAACTGATGGCATACTGAATAAAAAAAATATATGGTAGAAAAGTTTAATTCAGTAACAGTCTTTCAATAAAAAGAGAAGTGTACAACAATACAATATTTTGAAAGTAATTTGTGTTGTGTTTGTAACAACAGGAGTCCGATACAGATTCACACGCTGAGTCTACACACGCGGAGTCCCAAAAGTCTGAAGGAAGGACAAGTAGAACACCAAGTGAGAGTAGCGAGAAGGAGGGACGAGAACGGTCCTACAGCAGGGAACATAAGTTTTCGCCGGCTGAACAGGTTTGCATCTTTAAGCAATGTTACATCTATATCTTACAAGCTGTAAATATCAGTATAATTGATTGCTCACTAAAATTGTGATATTTGAACTATTTAATCGTATGAGGAGGTTTTCTATTGTTGAAAAGCCAGATGAATATCATATTCATATATTAGAACTTAATCTTCTAGTTCTGTTTCTTTTTAATAACATATTGTCCAAATCAATTAAGAAATCTTAATGAAATCAGATAGTCTAGTAAACAAAAAGTAAAACATCCTGAAAATAAAAGGAAAAATTTGGTTATCTGATATACGGATTACTACCATTAGTAAAGAACATATATTGAAAACTTTTATGCTAAAATTGAATAATTTTTGAATGTTATTAGCAACCAAGTAAGAGTGGATCACGAGCAGTGCCACCTCGTTTCCAGAACAAACAGCAGCAGCAGCAGCAGCAAACATCTGAAAACACCATGAGGCAGCCTCAACCACAAAAACAGCCAGGGTCTCCCCAGCCACACCCTGGACAGATGAGACCTGGTCAAGGACCTCCTCCACCCTGGGGACCTTACCCTTGGCCTCCAGGAATGCCAATGCCATTTATGGATCCAAACTTTCCGAGGCCACCAATGCCAATGCAAGGTGTTTATTTTTTAGCCTTAAATGACAATGAAACCTAGTCATCATGGTATTAGTTTTGGTGTTATATGAATGAATGTTTAAAAATATACAGGCTTTTGTAACAAGCTACACAGCAAGTAGAAATATGTGTGCGTAAGTCAGCATGTATCCCATGTCTATCTGTTTGTGTTGTTCAAGACCATGACCAAAGTAGCTGTTTGCATTAAAAAAAAAAGAAGTTAAGTAATTTTAAGTCTCTTAACCTTCAAGTTCCATGAAGCCAAAGGATGATTAGTGTGTAACATTAGTTTTGTACGAAGATGACAATTTCATCACTCACCGAACTGATGGCAGTCATTGAAACTTGATGTTTAAGTGAAGAATTTACCTTTTATAAATGTTTGTCCTTTTTTTGCAAGCACCAATTAGTCCAGATGTTTTTTCTCCTTTTTGATTGAAAGGCAGATATATTGCATTATACATTCTTGAACACTGTCTAATTGGTTGAGAAAGATGTAAAACATTTTAATGTTACCAGCTCATTTTAAAAAGGATCATAAAGAAAGATAGTTTTTGCATCTCAGAATAACATTCCAAAATGTTTTAAATATATGAAAAACAATTGTAAGTGCACATGGTCCATCTCGGTTATCACTTACCGATCAAAAAATGTTGGCTATTAGCAATACATTGTCTTTTGAAGTTTGTTTACTAACCAAAATGACAAATAAACCAGATGGATTGGGGGGAGTTTTTCCTGTATACATGCAGGATAAAATGTAATATTTATAAATGATTTAAATACTGTTTTTTTTTCTTTTTAATAACATTTTGTCTGGAACATCAAAGAAATCCTGATGAAAATTACTGGCATTGCCCTCAGAAGAAGAGGAGAATAGATCACTGTACATTCACTTTAAGGCCAAATAAGTTCAAAGTTTTCCATAAAATTGCTGTAAATTTTTAATCATTGAAGATATAATGATTTTTGAAGAACAAATTCATATTCAGCAATTTGAAATTTACTTTACCAGGTATGCCTATGTATCCAATAAGAAGGAGAAACGATTCGCATGGTTCTGGAACAGACAGCCAGGATAACGAAGGACGCCAGGAGCCATTTGACCGTGACCCTAGAACTGACCCTAGAGCTGACCCCCGAGCATGGGGCAACTACTCAATGCCGCATGGACACCCTGGCCAGTATGACGGGAGGCCTAGCCCATTCTTTGACCGCATGTATCAGGAGTATGAAAGAAACTTTTTAGACTATAATGACCGAAGGTAAATTTCCCCCTTTTCCAATGCAATCGACTTTTAATTTGCCTATGGAGAATAATTGTAAAAGAAGTCCTTCACTTTGAGATCTATATTGAAAAACAAATTCATTCATTTCCTCTACAATTTAGTGAAGAAGACTTTTTGCATATTTGGTTACACAATATTTTCATATATCTTCCTATTTTGTTGGCAAGAAAAAGTTTTGAACAACATCATTGGATATTAAGCACTATGAAGGGAGTCAGGAAAAATAAAATACATACTTAATTTATTAATATTCTTCACAGGGAACATGACAGGAGGGAGCGAGAAAAGCAGGAAAAATTGACTTATGATGATGACAAAGACTACGATGCTGAAGAGTCTGAGGAATCTTCAAAGGAACCAGACCGGGATCGTCCACCAAGGGTACAGAGGGACCCATTTGATGACACACCTGACCGGGACCAGGGAGACCATCGGGATCACGACTGGTCACCCTCTCCAAGGTAACATACAGCTCTGTGTCATAAAGCTATGGCATAGAAACGGATAAGAGTCGGAGGCTGACATTCTTCATATGATTACCTGATCAGCTAAACTTGTAGGGAGGGAAAATGTGTTACATTTAAGTTTCCAGTCTATGATTTCTTTTTAAGCAATACGCTGCCCTTTCAGACACCATGAAATGTTGAGATATACAATTTTTAATTCGCAGAGAAGAGAAACCCAAAAAGGAAGAGAGATCTAGAAAAGAAGAACACCGTGAGGTGAAAGATCATGATGCTCGAGTTTCAGAGCATGAACAAGATCGTAAAGAAAAAATTGACAAGCCCACGAGGGATCGTGATCATCGTGACAAAGATCATCGTCGTGGTGAGGAGAAGGAAATGTTTAGAAACAAGGATTCCCCATGGGGCCATCCCAGACAGTCTGCACCAAGTAGAAATGAGTATGACCGCTTTCCTGGAGTTTTGCGCAACGTGGATGATGGAGGAAGGCATTACAGCAGTAAGTTAATTATTTCATTTCTTGACTGTCCAGGTATACATTAAAGATATACCAGAGGATAATTTGTCCACAAAAAGAACATTGTAATGACGACAAAGATCTTGATTTTCTGTGTAAAATGGTGTTAAATTATCTTTGAAGATAAAGAAATTGAGGAAAACTAATTCACTGATCAGGAATTTTTTCCAAGTTAACATCCAGTCTTTATGAATAAGTTTTAATATTAGAATATTTTGATTTTAGAAAGGGAACATCCCAGCTGTCCGCCACCCATCACCCCACAGCAATCCCAGCAGAATGTGCCGCCAAGGAGCCACTACACATCACTCAAAAGGACTGCTTCTAACATGTCCACCAACTCAACAAACACAGAAAGAAAAACCGAGTCCCCAAAGGAACCTTCTCACCCTGATAGGGATAGCTCCAGACAGAAGTCATCCAATAGGGTGTATGCAGTAAGTCCAGTTTTAAAATACACCATGTGACACTTTTGATGACGGCTATGATGATACAAACTTATCTGTCAATCCAATGATAAGTTATGAATAAATACATTTTGAACTGAGCTGCAGTAAATTTCATACTGTTGAGGGCAGTCCTTAAATGTGAATTTCTGAAAAGTGGTATTTTTGACTTTCAGGATTCTGTAAAGGAAAAACCTGTAAAGGAGAAGCAGTCAGAAGGCAAACCGCAGAAGGAGGAGGAAAGCAGGTATGTCCATTGTACAAATGAAACACTGGGCCTTTCATTTTCATTCAAAGCTTAATTAAAGGGAAAAGGAATCATGAAACCCATTTTTTTTTTCACAGTAAGCATTCTCTCTGGCTTTTGTCACAATTTTCTCCCTTCTCATGTAAAAAGTTCAAGTTAGCAGTACATGTACTACCATGATTTTACTTATGTCTCAATAAAAGAAATAAATAATTTAATAGAGTGTGGTGAGTAATACGTATACACAAAGAATAATTATTCAAAATCAATTTTTGTTTAAATGACAAGTCATTAAGTGGTTTCCAAAGAACATTTTCCCCTTTGAATAACACTGGAAACAATTGGTTTTAGTTATATGTCAAAGTACCAGGGTAACTAGATATCAAACATGATTTCTTTAACCTATGTATCATTACAGACAAAAGCCAAGAGAAGAAGAAAAGTCTGCACGGGAAGAAAATAGAGAACACAAGGACAAACCTACAAGGAAGGAAGAGAAAGGTTTCCGTGATAGGGAGGAACGTGTTTCCAGAGATGAGAGTTCTTTCAAGGACATTAAACAATATAAAGATGATGAGCCACAGGGTGATGAGCGACGTGAAAGAATGCAGCCACCTGCAAAGAAAAAACGGGATGAAGCTTTCTTGAATGAGCGAGGAGAAAGATACAGAAACAATACTGGTAGAGGAGGACGCGAGTTCGTGCGTGGAAGAGGAAGAAGTGTTGGAAGTCGTGGTTCAAGAGGAAGTTATCCTGCTAGAGGGGGTAGAGGAGGAAATCCCAGGGATAATAGAAGCTATGATAGAAATGTCCCAAGGTCAGCAGGTGGTCGCAATGACCGTCGCCCATACAGCCAGGGCCGTGATCGCTTCGGTGAAGACAACTATTATGCTGAGGGAGAGGAGTTGGAGGCTCCCCGGCGGCGCAGAATGAAGGATGAGGACAGTGATCATTCTGAACCAAGTGATTTTGGTACTAGTGATTCATCAGGAGAGGTCGACAAGAAAGACAGTAGCACACAGGGTCATAGGGACAAAGACCGAAGTAAGCGGCCTGGGTCCCGGGACAATCGAGGTGGAGACGTTCGTGGTGGAATCAACCAACACGTGGATGATCAGAAGGTTGATGATGGTGGTCATAGACAGTCTCATGATGATGGTGGTCATAGACAGTCTCATGATGATGGTGTAGAAAGAAGCCAACCAAGACGAGATGATAGACGTGATGATAGACATGTTGATCGACGAGACGACCGAAGAGACGATCGACGAGGTGATGACCGTAGACATGACAATAGGATGAACCAAAGAAATGGAGGAGGCTCCTTTGAACCAAGAGGAGAACCATCCAGGAGAGGTCGTGGTAAGATATGAAACAGGCTAATCAATTTTATTTTGATTTGCTTAAGAATAAACCAGTTGTTTTGTTTAGCTTAGCTTGCTTGCTATATTAATGTGCCTTTATCTGTATGTCTTAGTCATTTGTGTGCTAAGGGAAAAACTTGATTTTGTTTATCACTTTGTATACATTGATTCTAATTATGATTCTGTTTGTGTATAGGTGGTAACTCCATGCGGGGTCGTGGAGGCCGCGGCCCTGGAGGAGGAGGCCCTGGTGGTGGAGGAGGTGGTCCTGGTGGAGGCGGTCGGATGTCGTCTGCACCCCCTGGCAGAGGGGGATTTGGGAAGCCTGGAGACAAAGAGGATTGGGGTGGAGGGGGAGGAGGTCCCTATCGGTATGTGTGCACCTTTAATACCAATTGCAATTGGTTCATAGATATGTTATTTGATACATTGATGTAATCCATGAAGTTCAGCTCATTTTATTAAAGGTTCCTTTTATCCCCTGAAAAAAAAAAAATTGGGGGAATAATCGCAGTCATGCAGGAAGTCTGTCCACCTGTTTGCATTTCATGTGTAGATGTTAACTGCACATAGAGTGATTACACATAGCAACTTGACATGTGGGTTGTTCTAGGGAAAAGGAAACATTTCAAAGGCACAACCCTTTCCTAGTAAAAATAATTTCTATATTAACAAAAAATGACAGGATGGATGGGCTCCTTGCAGGACTTTCATTTCTATTAGACACAAATCTTATATTGTACATGTTTTTAACTTTCAATGTTTGACAACAGTACTGATTTTGATTCTTTTTTTGCCTGCAGGAAAGAAAATAAAAGACCAGGCCGAGAGCCACCACCACCCAGATTTGCAATGAAAAAAGGGCTAAATTTAAACGAGAAGGGGAGGGGCACTGATCGTGGTAGAGGACGCGGAAGAGGAAGAGGAGGAAGTGCCCCTCCTAGCATCAACAATAAGCGGCCACAGCTTATCAAACAAAACTCCTCGGACCAAACTAATGAAGGAAATGAAGAGTGGGAAACTGCTTCAGAAAGTAGTGGAATCTTTGATAAGAATTCAAAAAACGAGTTTAAGGACAGGGAAAGAAAAGACTCCAACCCTGGTAAAAAAAGTTTCTCAAGTCAGCGTCCATTTAATGACCGACAAAATAGAAAGGGAAATCAACAAGATGGTGGTAGCAGGCGACAGAATGGTGGTGTAGATTACAATAAAAATTCTGGGAAGGAAAGATCACCAAATCATCTTTCAAAAAATGGGAGTGGTCCTAGGGCCCCAAACGGGGGTCCTAGGAAACCATATAGCTCAAGTAAGAAGGAAAACATTGCCACAGTGTACAGAGTGGATCAAGTGGTACCGAACAACCAGAATGCTATCAACAATGCCATTAACAATCTCAAGTAAGTTGACTTGTGTTGCTCTCTGGATACTTCAAATAGCAGCAGTGATGATACAACATTATCTGTCAATCCAATGATACATAATGAATATAAAAATGTCCTGAGCTGCAGTAATTGGAATGATGACTGGGACATCTCTTGCTTGTGCATAGTAGACTTTTGCTAGCTGTTTAGATTAACTTTAAATAGACATGTGGAGTTCCATTCTCAACATATTGCTACATCTTTGCTTGTTATTTTGTATCAATATATTCCAATATAAATAAGGGTAAAAGAGCTGTCATATTGAATAACCTCTCATGAAGACTTAATGGTTTTAACTTTTTTATGATAAATATGTGTACAATTTGGATTTTCATTATCCTCACCACTGTTTGATTGTCTCGGAAAATTCTTACTAACCAGGGGGGTTACTAATGCTTCAATATAGCATAATGGTCTGCTGTGAGGAACTAGATTTGATAGCATTGTAAGGATCATCGACACAAACCTATGTCGAGTGGTCATAATCTGCATAACTTTAGCAATATTACTATAGCAAATATTGCAAGAAAAATGTTATTGTATATTTAAAGAGGTGTTATAATGTCTTGCTTTTCAAGGAGTCGTCCGGGAAAGAAATCGGACCTCACAGATGTTTCAAAACCATTGAAATCTGAAGAGAAGAGAACGAGTGCATTGGCAAATATAGACATCAACAATTATGCAAGTAAGTGATACTAAGTGGCATACTAAGCTTTATCATCATACGAGTCATCACAGAAATGTCTCTTTCTTATAATCATTAATATAAAATTCCAACACATGCAATGATGATTACTTTAATCTGTCAATCCCATGATTAATAATGATTTTACTTACTTGTATTCTGAGCATGTTTGAACACATATTCATATAGTATGTGTGTGTAGTCTGGTTGAGTTGTTTTATTTTTGTACTGAATGCTGCTTTCCTGAGCAAATATATGAAGTTAACAACTGTAACATATTGTATATTTAAACTTGTTCTATAGCCACCAACTTCCACATAATTGTTGCTAATTGAAATCAACAACCAAAACTTCACATTGCCAAAGATTTACCACAGGAAATAGGCCTGAGGACTGGAAACCAGAAGCTTGTTAATCTCTCATAACCACACATTAGATTATGATGACGGCAGCAAGTGAACACAGGATAATTGTAAACATTACAGCAAGTTAAAATACCACCATATTTACACATTTAAATATATTGACTCTTTTTAACTTCAACAACTGTGCCAGTGTGTGACATTTTTCCATAAGTAAATCATAATCAGAGTTGTTTTTCTAAATATCCAAACATGCAGTGATGATGATTTTATCTGTCAATCCCATGATAAATAATGATTTTACTTCATATTTTCTGAGCAAGTGATAATGTTATGCAACTGATGTGGATTAATTGACTAAAAATCCCCCAAAAAGATCTTCACTACATTGCAAATTTCAGATATGCATTCCAGATTTAATAATCCTGCTAAATTTTGATTATTGAACTATAGAAGAAATGACTTGTTTGGTCGTGGAAGTCCCAAACAGAATTTGTTCTACTGTTCATACTATTTATTACTGGTACCTCAAACTATCCTATCAAAGTTATGTCAATTTACATCATAACTTGCGTATCGTTAAAATGTGATAACAGTATTGCCGCTGTAATATCAATTGTCACAAGTATATACAAGTCTTCAAAGGTGTGTGTGTTGATAAATGTATTGCATCTCCAATTCTGATTCAAAACATGCAGTGATGATAATTTTATCTGTCAATCCCATGATAAATAATGATTTTACTTCATATTTTCTGAGCATGTGATAATGTTTTGCAACTGATGTGGATTAATTGACTAAAAATCCCCCGAAAAGATCTTCACTTCATTGCAAATTGCAGATATGCATTCCAGATTTTAAAATCCTGCTAAATTTTGATTATTGAACTATAGAAGAAATGATTTGTTTGGTCTTGGAAGTTCCCAACAGAATTTGTTCTACTGTTCATACTATTACTGGTACCTCAAACTATCCTATCAAAGTTATGTCAATTTACATCCAGTCTGATTAAAATCATATGTTACATGGCCTCGTTAACTTCGTACTAAGCCTAAACATCTGAGTGTGCCGCGGTCAGTGTCACGTTCAGGTGACCTTTATATTTATAACTACTCATTAAATTTTGACCAATCAGAGACCCTCTTTTAAAACGAGGCTCGGAGTTGTAACAAATATGGCGGACATTGATGAGAAAGATGCGAAAGTTCTGAAATTATTTGAAATTGATAGTCTGAAACCCGAACAAAAAAAGATACTCAAAGCTTTATTAGAGAAGAAAGACTGTATGGCGGTGTTGCCTACGCAATTATTACCCAATGGTTACGGTTTCCTCGGCGTCATAGAAACGTCAGTTCCCGTCGACATATTTGTTTTGGAAAACTAATTGGTTTGATACCCTCGCTATTTATCTATCAACCATGATATTCCGATGCGCTGGCAAACTTTTGCCAGAGCGCCTCTGATTGGTTCATCTAAAGGTCACTTGAACGTGACCCTGACCGCGGCACATTCAGATGTTCAGGCGGAGCCATGTAACAGATGATTTTAATCAGATTGATTTACATCTTAACTTGTGTATTGTTAAAATGTGATAACAGTATTGCCACTGTAATATCAATTGTCACAAGTATTACAAGTCTTCAAAGGGGTCTGTGTTGATAAATGTATTGTATCTCCAATTCTGATTCAAAACATGCAGTGATGATAATTTTATCTGTCAATCCCATGATAAATAATGATTTTACTTCATATTTTCTGAGCATGTGATAATGTTATGCAACTGATGTGGATTAATTGATTAAAAATCCCCCAAAAAGATCTTCACTACATTGCAAATTGCAGATATGCATTTAGGATTTAATGATCCTGCTAAATTTTGATTGTTGAACTATAGAAGAAATGACTTGTTTGGTCTTGGAAGTCCCCAACAGAATTTGTTCTACTGTTCATACTATTACTGGTACCTCAAACTATCCTATCAAAGTTATGTCAATTTACATCATAACTTGTGTATCGTTAAAATGTGATAACAGTATTGCCGCTGTAATATCAATTGTCACAAGTACATGTATATACAAGTCTATATACATGTATTGCATCTCTAATTCTGATTTAAAACATGCAATGATGATAATTTTATCTGTCAATCCGATGATAAATAATGATTTTACTTTATATTTTCTGAGCATGTTGCATGGCTTACATAAATTTGTTCACTGTGAATGAAAAATATTTAAAAATAAAACTTTTGGAAAAGCTGTCTAGATATATATACATCACATTCAGAAACTAAAGCCATATTTGGAAAGAGCAGACAGAAGTCTTGTATTGTTCCACCCCTCTCGCCTCTCAATTTTACATATCTGCACAGTTTTCTGGATACCTGTGCAAGTGTTTATATTGTGTGCTGTTTTACAGGTGTGGTTGTAATCGACGATGCCCCAGAGGTGACCATCGATGATCCCAATTTTCTGTTTGACAGTAATGAGGGTTTTCAGGAAGTCACCTCCAAAAAGGCATTCAAGAGTAAACAGAAGGCTCAACAGGAGGCTGAACTTCGACAGAAACTTGTGGAAAGCAAGAAAACTAGTGCAAAGGTAAGATATATGGACATTCATTGACATGCTAAAATTATTCAATTATGCAGACACTTTATCGATCACCAATTAACTAAATGCTCTCAAAAAAAAAAAAATGCAGTCCCAGTGTACACAACGAGTTCCTGAACTAATTATCATTGGTCACAGCTCTCATTCAAAAATAAGGTTGTATTTTTTTAGCCTATGTAAGGATGCCTATTGATTGTACCTGTAGGTTGTTGCTAAGCCGAAAGGTGTGGGACAGGTTAATGAAAAACCAAGACATGGTAGTAAGAGCAAGCTGCCCCCGCGTTTGGCCAGACAGAGGGAACAGCGCGAGAGGGAAAAGACAAAACCATTTGACATGAAGATAGAAAACTGGGACAATGAGCTAGCCAACAACATCCCCCCTCCTGCTGCAGATGCCCTGGATCAGACATCAACTAATGTCAAAAGTGAGTCCATCATTCATCGTGAACTTGTATTTTGAACGTGTTTTATCAGCTGTGATGATACAAATTTATCTGTCAATCCAATGACACAATATGAATATTAATTTTGATCTGAGCTGTAACACTTTAATAATGAATCCCAATGTATATAGAAAAATGTCAAATCTGAATGATTGTAATGACATTTATACAATTATTACCAGGTACTATAAGTAGATGTATGACACTTGTTTCTGAAATATTTTATTTGAAAACATGATAGTGCAGACACCAATCTTGAAAAGACTAATCTGATGCCTTTGACTTGACAGATGCCATGGAGCAGGTGAACAGTCCAGCAGTAGGTTCCCCTGCCACAATGCAGCCCATGCATGTGTCCATGAATGGTGCCATGACCCATGTATCAGCCCCTATTCCCCCTGTCAATGCTTGGGTGTCCAAACCCATCAGCTATGCTGCTGTCACTGGTGCCCAGGTGTCTGCTGCCACGGTGGAGAATAAATTTGACAAGGGGGATCAACACGATAGTGGAATTGATGTTAGTGACCAACCTAATTCTGCAAGCTCTTCAACTAGAAGCTCCCCAAGTGCAGAAAATAAATTGAAGATAGATAAGGTGAAGAGGAATGTTAAAGCAGGGCCCCTTTTTAGAGTTCAAGTGAATATTCTGAGAAATTTGAAAGTTTCAGTTTATTTTTGCCTTCCCATTAATTTAAGTCCTGTTAATTTGAAACTGCCAGATGTTGAATGTCTGTAAAACAAGCCGCTGTTATGTTGGCTGTTTTTTGTTTGATAAGTGTTGTCTTGTAGCCTCGTGATTTTAATTTTTTGTCACCCGTTTCTTTCGAGAAAAAACAACAAATAGAATCCCCAGAGAAAAAAAGATCAATTTTTTTCTGCACTTTTGGTTTACAAGTCCAAACGAGCCGGACTATGCTTTATTGCTGCTTTTGCTTTTTTCTAATCTTAAGTGCTTTAATTCCTCTACTGTTACTTTGACTTGTATTATTTTGTTGTTGTCACTTGCATTCTGTTGCACAATTTAAATGATGAGCTATATTTGACAGTGATTGCGCTATTTACAGATTTTGTGTTTGGCTTGTATAATTCACAACTACATATATCTGGCTTTGTTTGTAATATCGAGATCTGTCTACCTAAAGTGTAGAATAAGAACTTGATATTGTGAAAAGGCTCTCAAAGGAACTGTCCTACAACTGGTTTCACTTAACATGTTTATCAACAGGATAAGGGTATTACCTAACACTTGCTACTTTTGTTTTGGTATGAAAATTGCAATACTAAAACATTTAGATATATAATATCTCTCATAATATGACGTATGTTCTGACTTAAATACTGTATAACATGAAACTTTTGTAATGCACTTGCATGGATTTTGTGGCGACAGTTGATCCGCAAATGTTGGTTCACATGTGTTCTGGCTAACTAACTGAAAAAAATAAAAATCTATGAATGAAGTTTACCAGGCATTTTTTATGTTCAATAGAATTTAATAAGTATTGATGACAGTCTGACATTGAATAAATACATCTACAGAATGATACTTCGGCTTTGTGTGCTTCCCAATCCTTCTCTTTATTGAATAATTATTTTTTCATAAATTTGAAATAATTTGATGTTTTCATGATTGAATTTGATATAAAGAAAATGCTGATAATCAATAGCAATCTATTGATAAGTTTCATAGTAATTACTGTTGGTTATTGAAAAGAATTCAATTGAACAAATTCAATTCAATTTTAAAGAAGTTTTATTCCTTCGTTATAATGCTTAGATTTCATTGTGCTTATTGTATGTTTGAATTTGAATAATTGATTACAGAATGAGAACAAGATGCCTGTTATAGCAGTTGACATGAAATCAAGTGATGCTCCAAAACCACAGAGGCAACCTAAGGTGAGAAACTCATAAACATTAACAAGGGTAGTTAATTAAGTTATATATGCTACAATTTTTTTGCAATATATTAGTAAATGAAAATTGTTTGTGTTTTAAGTAGTTTCCTTGAGATGTTAACAGGTTGCTTTTTAAAAGGATTTAATGAAGATTAACATGTGATATGTGCTTGTAGGTGACTCGCAGTGAAAAAGTCAGTGTGAAGGAAACCATGGACAAACCAGATTCAAAAGTGGTGAAAAAACCAGAAATATCAAAGGACAAGTCACGCAGTACAGCCTCCATTGATAAACCAGAACCTATACAACTACCTAGTTTCCCATTTGGAAAGGTAAATGGGAAAGTTTTGCTTCTATTAACCTGAAAAGATGCGTTTTGTTTTGAAAATTCCGCTTTAATGTCCATGCAACATCAATGATGCATTAAGTGATTGCCTCGCCTTTTCTGTCCTGTGACAGCTTGGTTAAACTTAGCATTTAGCTCCATAATTCTAATACTAGAAGTCTAATAGTTATCAGTGTAGGTCACCGACCAGTATTTTCCATTTCCCTAACATCGGTTAAACTTTGTGTTAAGCAACATTTCTTGGTCAGACTTTTGAATTTGGCTGTATTTCCATCAACGTTTGAATAAGGGCATAAGTATGCTTAAAAATTAAATTGGAAGATAATAATTCGTAAGGATTTTTACCTGGGTACCAAAGTTTTGTATATTAAAGAAACTTGATTGTGTTTTGTAGGGTGATGACTCGAGTGAGATAAAGCTGGACTTTGTCTATGATGACGCACTGGCCAAGTTCCCGGAGAAAGTTGAGCCAGAGAAGGACATAGACCTGGTGGAACCCAACATCTCAGTGGTGGCCATGTCTATTGCAAGTACCACAGTGAACACACAATCCATGGACACAACTTCTCCCACATCTCCTGCAGCACAGGATCTAAACCAGAAAATTGCCTCTGTTAAAACATTCTGGGACCAGGTGGATCAGGTGTCTCCAGGAATGGTCATGTTTGACCAGGGGTGAGATTCCATGTTTTTAGCATTTTGCATCATTTCAAATTATTTGCATCCCATCCCCATGGGTGAACAACAGATTTAAGTGTGTAACATCAACTTTTCTTGTTCATTTGAACATGGTTACAGTTGTTTGTGACCAAGTTGTCAAGATAAGACAACATGGCTTGGAAAAAAGTTGAGAAAATAAAGTGAAGAAATCTGATATTAAAGTTTTTCAATGGGTGCAGCAGATCAGATTTGGTCTCTTTGATGTCCCCTTAGTAGATGCCCAACCCCGATTATGCAGAAGGCCCTCCATGATCATGAATTGCCCAATAACTGGTAATACAGTGGAAACATAACAGCTAAATAAATTATCCTCATTCTGAACTAAATATTGTTTAATAGCTTGCTACCTAAAATGGACTGTGTGTGGTATGTTGATTGCATGATAATGATTTCGTCCACAGAATCAATACATCTGGACTAGTGAGTGCAGTGTCGACAACATCAGAGACTGTGTCAGTGTCCGACTCCTTCAGCTCCTTCCCACCTGACATGGACACTGGTGTGATGGTGAGCAACGATGCAGGCCTTGACCTTGACCCAGTTTCCCGGGGAGATGACAATAATAGTAGCCTGGCAACCAGTCTGTCACCTCGTGAGGATGGACTTTCCTACAGCTCCAACTCTGTTGAGGTCAGCGCTACCCTAGGGGACAACGGAAAGGCTAACGAACAAAGCAATGTCTGCAAAGTAAGACCAGAGTTGCAGTGTACACCGCTTTATTTTGTACATCTGTGTTTCAGTATGCATGAACTCTGTGGTTTTATTTGCTTAATATAAGTTTTTAAAATACAGATACATCTGTAAACATTAGTATGTAGATAAATATATAATTATATTATTATAAGTTTATAAATTCGTACGGTATCTAATTTAAAATTTGTGTGCCATATGTGTTGTGGTAACTGTTGACCTGCTTGTCCATGTGAAGTGTTAGATGTTAGATTCTATTTATTAGTGCAGTCAATTATGCTGCCAGAAAGAAAACTTGCTTCAATCAACCAATTTTCTTGCTTACAGGTGAAGCCTCAACAGCTGCAGGCATCTCTTGGTGGAGACTGTAGTAGTGGCAGTAGCAGTGTGCTGAGTAACCCCTCAAGTGTACCTAGTCCAACATTACAGCCAATTCAGCTGCCTACTGCTTCTCAACAGACCTACCAGGCCTTCCAGATCGGAACCTCACAGCTGATCACTCCCGAACCAAGGGTATGTAATTCTGTATCTTATTTTCTCCGTAACGAAAGGCCCAAACAATATATTATTCAGATATAAGTGAGTCTGCATAAGATGTGATTGAATATGAATATTTGTTATCTAGAAACAGATGCTGAATTTTGGAATCTGGATCTTAAAGGGCTGCTCCAGAAATAAATTTATGGGAGGGGTGGGAGGCAATTTTTCAGTGACCTCAACACCCAACAAAAAATATAATATCAGAGAGTGTAGGCAGACTGTTAGGAGTCAAGATTATCAAATGTTTGCACTGATGTACTGTATAATGGAAAAAGTTCACTTTTGAAAAATAAAGCAATTTCAACATTGATGAGATAGTAATATATATATATTTAGGGCCAGCATTGGAAATGTGGGTGCCCTATAGTCATCAAAGTGTCTGTCTGTCCACACTTTCTTTTCCGGAAATTATCTCAGAATCCAAAATTCTTTTTGAAATTGGACATGGTGATAGATTGTGATATTTAGATCTGAGTAAGGGTTTAAAAGTTGTTGTGGTCAAGGTCACTTACTAAAAGTAGACTTTCAGGATACAGTCAGGCACATGACGGGGCCTTAGCTGAACCTGTCTGTGTTCTAGTACCTTTTACTGAAAGTCTAAACATATAAATTGCGTTTTAATTATTATGTTGATTTAAATCTTCACTTCTGTTATTTTAATTTTAAATGTAAATTTGTCTCCAGCAGGTGCAAAACCAACCCAGCTTTGGAGGTTATGGTCTGAGCCAGCAGCAACCTCAACTTGGCCAAACATTCTCCCAGCAGAGCTTGTTCATGCCAACTACACCCACCCAATTGGACTCGTACCAACTGCCCCAGCTGTCAGCATACACTCATAGAAACCAGGCGGCCCAACATCAGCCCCAACACCAGCCCCAGCACCAGCCTCAGCCCCAGCACCAGCCCCAGCATCAGCCACCCCAGCATCAGCCTCAAGCAGCATTCGGGCAGAACCCTGCCCCTCAGAATACTATTATGGTATCCTCTGCCAACTCTTCTCTAATGTCAACAACTATCAAACCACCTCAAAATGCATATGGTGAGTACATCAACAGAAAGATTTTATTAATTAATTAAAGTAATAATTTTTTATCTTAATCGCCTGCCGTTCAGTCAGCAATTTACTCATTGCAGAGCAGATGCTTGCATTTTGATAAGATGTGATGAGAATATGTACAACCAATGTGTTGAATTGAGAGGATGTTGGATAATTTCAGGAACAACTTTACAGAAGAGCATGGGACCTAATTCACTTCAGTTTGGGCAACAAGGGCTTAGTAGTAATCTGCTACAACCATCACAGCAGATCTCCTTTTTCCAGTATGACCCCAACCAGCCTTTTGGTACCAACCAGTTTCTAGGAAACACACAGACAGCCCAGAATGTGAACACATCACAGATTCTTGGGTCCCAGCTTGTACAGCCAAGGTACTTAAATTTGTGTTTAATACTTGCATCTTTTGTTATTTAGCTTATCAAGTTATTGATTTATATTGGAAATAAGTGTTTTTATAATCAGGGTACATCGCCAAACAGTAATGTGTTCAAATGTCTGTAACTAAACAGGAATTTGGATTTCAAAAAATCTATTTACTAGAATTAACAAATTCATGTGGTTAATGTTTTTGTTTCTCATTGTAGAGCTGCTGTTCAGAATGTACCACAAGTGCAGGGATCCTCCTCATTTTACCAGCAACAACAACAACAGAACATGCAGCAGACAAGTTTCTTCTCAACACAGCCAGGTTCCAGTAACATGCAGGTAAGAGACACTGAAATGTTATCTAGTACACATATTCAGTCTCCTAATAATGATTGAAAGTGACAGGGCGTTAAAACAGGTTTGTGATGAGTAGAGGATCAAATACATTTCCTTTACATGAACTCCATTTCTAGTTGTTAAAGTAGTGGATCTCTGTTTCCTAAGAATAATTGTCCGCAAGTTGTTTTGGTTTGGAGGAATGTCTTAAATAGCAAACATCTTTTAATCCGGATTAATTGTAGAACTGATTTCAACCTTTTACATCTTCAGCACCTGGGTAATGGAAACAGGAAAAGTGGTGGTGAGCTGATGTTCCAGGCCTGTATCCTACAGGGTGCTCTACAACAGGCAGCTGCAGCTGGTGGACAGACTGCGGCCCAGTTCTTTGGAAACCAGTCTGCAGCAGCTGCTGCAGGGCCTGGTCTTAACTTGTCACTGCAGCCCTCGGGCGGAGGCCAGCCACCAATGGGTGTGGCGACAGCCCAGCCCTCCAGTGGCTCAAAGATGTCGCAATTCAACCCATCGCAACAGCCACAACAGGGTTCACCTCAGAGCACTCCGGTAATTATCCCTTTAACAAATCACATGAGGGGCTGTTACTTATCTTACAGGACATATCATATAGAGCTGTCACGATACACTCTACCAACGATTTGATACGTATCTCGATATTTGTACTATGATTCGATTATTTTGTTTCGATACATCTTTGTTTTAAAATATCAACAAAATGAGATATATAAGCTGTCGATACACGGAAACCCGAAGTGTTTCCACACTTTTGATTTGAAGCTTGCCAGAGCATCACAAATTTTCATTTCCTTACCACGGTCCGCCATTTATCTTATGAATGCATTGTGAAAATGTCATCCTCGCATTGGCTGAGGGTTTAGAGATCAGCCAATGAAATTGAACGTCTCGCAGACGTTTCGACTGAAGCGGCATACACTAATATTCAGATCGTGACGTATCGAAAATCTGGGAAAATGTATTGTGAATCAAATCGAACATAAATAATCGCGATACAAGTGCATCGCGGTGAATCGTGATGCCTCTAATATCATATATATCGCCTACAATTACAATACTTTGCATGCAAGTACCTCTTTGAATAGCTCGTTTTCATGTCGTGATTCATGGTCTTTACTCAAGGACTTAATATAAAGGTCTAGTATAAGAATGTCTCTTAATCAAGTAGTTTTTTTTGCAATGGATAGACCTGCTTTTCAATGTGAAGTGTAAGATTTTAGATTATATATATGACAGCAGTCAATTATGCTGCAAGAAAGACCTTTTGTGTTTCATGGTCCAAATGTCAATGCCAATGTGACTCCTGATAGAAATATGTCAACCAATTTACTTGGGCACCTTCATTTCCTGAATTTTAATTTCACTATAGGTTGACAGTGAGAATACCTTGGATAAGTATTTCAAGGTGTCAAGCTCACCATTACTTTTTTACAGAAATTTCTCAAACAGTGAGTTTTCTTTGCCAGTTGCCTTGGTGCAGGTGCATTGATGCCTTACAGACTTCTCTAGTTAATACAGCATATTTGATTTCACCTTCATAAAGCAACTTGCTATAATACTTGTGTATATTGCCATGAATATTTTCAGAATGATGATCAGGTGTGAAAAGCACAATCATGGAATACGTTCTTTGAGAGACTAGGGATTGCTTGTAGTATATTTTTTGTGTATTCTATGATCTAACGTATTTCTAGTCTAACCCACAGTCTTTGTGTTTTCTAAAGCATGATTTATATGTGTTACAGTTGAAGTCTCCCCCACAAACTCTTGGTCAGAATAACTTTGTTGTTGCACCTTCCTCTGCATCTCAACAGCAGAATCAGGGCTCCAAGCTTTTTAACCTGAGTCAACTTCAGACCCCCAACACTAACCAAAGATTCAATAATGTGAGCTTCAACAACAACTTGCATACCAATATGGCGAACATTTCCACCAACATGGCCAACATGTCGAACATGAAACAGTTTGGAGGTCAGAAGTTCAACCAGCCCTTTATGGGGCAGCCACTCCAATCTGCAGGTAAAATGATACATCTGAATAACTCCATACAAATGATACCATTGTTCAGTGATATACAATCAATTCATGTATTTTTGTGCTGTTAGCAATTCCAAGATGTATTTCAAAGTTAGATTTAAAGTGATTAAAAAAAAATGCATACCAATTTAGGTTGGTAAAACTACTCTTAAGGACCATATTCCAGTTGTTCAATTATATTGATAGGCCAGTTCTTTTACATATGTATTGTTCTTAAATGTTGAGCCCAATTTTAATTTTGAATTATATTCCTATTTGTCGATGAGTAGTTTTTTTTATACCTGAACATGTTTTTGAATAAATTCTTTTTTAATTGCAGGCCCGATGGTGAGATCTCCAATGATGGTGAATAACTTTAGACCAAGTGCACCCCCAGTTCCTGCCACGTTTCCTAACCCCATCCAGCGGCCTGGAGGGGTCCAGATTCCTGGCAGTCCTCGACAACAGCGTCCCCCTCAGGTTGTACCCCCAGCTAGCATTGGTGCGGTCCCTGGATCTGGGGGAAACAACACCATTAAAGCCCTACAGGCTAAACAGAGACGGGAACTTCTTGCACATGCACAGAATTTCCTCAACCCACAGAACAAACCCAGCATCAAGCTGAAGGCAGAGGCTTCTGTCAACGACAGTAAAAGCCCCCCTCAACCTGCTGCATCTATTGGGTCAGGGCCCGTGCCCAGCCCAAACCCAACAAGCACAAAGAAAACAGAAGAGAAAGGCACTGAAAAGAAGTAACCAGTTGCCTTCAAGTAGTCCTAAAGAGATGTACTGAGCAACAAGGGTTTTTTATCATGAAGTACTGAATTTTTTATTTATACTATTATCATTAACTCGTGTTTTAGTATTTAGACTTGTTTTTGTGATAATCTGTTGTATGAAGAGCTACGAGATGGCACATGGACATTTTACATTTGGATTTGGAAAAAAAAACACTTTCTTGTGACATAAACATTTAAATAAAATGAAACAAAGGAAAGACAGATGTTGAAGAAGTCAGAAATAGTGTGGACATGGGACTAGCAAACAGAAGGTAAAGGGAAGACTGTTTATTCATGGACATTTTTTGTGACATGGATGATTGAAAGAAGGATTGACGTGTTAGCAATAGTCTGGTGCCCTCTGGTCACTTGTGATGCTCCAGGCGACATTGATGATCATCCATGCTTCTGTGATGTACAATAGAGATGAACATGAATACATGCACCTATGGGGGAATCATTAGGTTCTCAAACGAATATTGCCGCATGTCTAGTATTATTGTATTATTTATTTATTATATTTATCTGTCTCCCTACAAGGAAACGGACTAGAATGAAATATTTTTATTTTCTTCGACCCTAGTCGTGGATTGTACAGTAATGGGCCAAGACTGCCTCAACAATTACACATTTATACATATATGTTGATACTGGTGTACCCCATAGGTGGTCTAGCTAGGGAGTTTACAATGTACTTGTATTTTACCTTGTAGTAAGTGCTGTAATCTCACCTCTTGCCATGTTAAACAAAAAAAGGATCTGACATGTTCTCTGTAATATGCATGCATTGTGAAATGATATTTTAGCATTTCATGTCACTTGTAAATTAGCATGTATACCCACAAAGCATGAGATTGGTTAGACACGTCAGAAGCGTATGTTGGAAGGTCTAGGAAGGGAAGAGCTAGTTCTTAACTTAGTCACTAGAGCTTTATGGTCAAGTAATGAGTACAGAGTGACCAAAGAACAGTGAGATGTCCATTTTCTATAAATAATTCAGACAAGAATTGAAAAGACTTCATAGCCTAGTAAAGGCTGACTACAGAGATACAGGAGATTTTGACATTTAGTTCTAGAATTAAATGAACACAAAACTTGAGTTGTGATTTTAACATTTCTAGCTCAATATTTTAAAGTGAAAAGAGGAGGAGAGGGAAAAGATGAAAGATAATAAATTAAATATAAGATTTGTGAAGGATGAATCTTAAAGCTACCAAAACGCCATACATTTTAGCCTCTGAATTACCAAAATGGCGAACATAATGGTTAAGTTTGGAGTTGGTTTTAATTAAGGGCATGGTAGTGTCACATGCACTAGTATATTTGAATGAAGATATGATGGTAACTAAGAGATGCCCCGGTCACCAGTCTGTCTGTGCTGCTATTGCCCCTGTAGCCTGGCAGTTCTGGTGAAAAGAAAACTCATTAACATGTTATTAATATATAAAACTTCCAGCGTTACCTTTGGGACTAAGCCCCAGTCCCTAGGTGACGATTGGGCCGTTCTTACCTTACGAGTGTGACATGGGTGTGGCCACCATGGCTGCCCACCATGTAACCATACCCTGTCCTATATTCAGCTGTGTTTATCATTTTTTCATGGTTAGTATTCTTTATAGATACCCCACCCCTTTTTTCACACAGTTCTTAATTTAAGAGAAAAGTCTGATGTCGTTTGCTAGTTTGATATTTAAGTAGATGATATATGTGAAGAACTGGATTTTTTTTATTCAAAGTCTTTGTGGTTGATTCTGTGGAACTGCACAAGTTGATGTGAAAAACGGTTTGGACAGATTACATAGTGATGATGTCCCAACTCGTTTGGTTTTTGTGTTGCAATACTTGTGTGTGTAGAGGGAGGTATGTAAAAGTATTAAGAGTTGGTTGTAAACAGGATGGGTGCATGTGTATTGTATGTACATGCATGTGCAGGTGTGATATTTTAACAGAATTGTGAGTGGCGGTCATCTGCTTTTCGTACCCCTAACGGGATGAGGAGATAGATGTCATCGTGCGAAGGTGATTGACAGACAAGGTGCTAAAGCATGTCATGTCGGTTGCTTATAAACATCCATCAACTTTCTACTCATTTGTATACCACAGATTTTATGTTCAGTTTCTATTTGCCTCCAAAGTCATCTGTATGTAGCTCTGAACAAAATAAAGAGCGCTCTGATGTAATTACCAAGCTTTGGACTTTTTTATTTTCATACTACGTTGATTCAAATATGTACAATCACTGTAAATGTTGTTATCAAAAATGAAAGCATGTTTTCAATGAGCTTACAATTTTACAAAGAGGGTTTCACCTGTCACCTTATTTAGACATGGATTGGATATTATTATCATATGTAGAAAGCAAGACGAGATGCAACATAATGAAAAATTGGCGATTTTAGGATCAACCTACTGGAAAGAAAGTAACCTGATTGCCTTCAAAGGTTAAAATTATATCAATGACTTTCTTTTGATAGAGTAAATTCTGTCATCTGGGAATATATCTTCATAACGGGCATAGTATAGAAGCTTTGAACAAACTTTTCAATGACGGGTCAGAGGTCATATATCAAAGTGACCTTTAAACTGCATTCTGCCATCACAAGATGTACCTGCAAACTAATTTAGGTTAATCCTGGTGAAATAGTGTTGGCAGGTTTGCTCTGGAGTTAAATTTTCAAAGGGAAAAGTTGGAGCATATGTCACCATGACCTACTTGTACCTTGCACTCCATCATCCCAATATGTACTTGAACACTTTAAATGATTTCTTCTGACGATAAAATTTGAGAATGAAAATGACCTTGACCTACTTTCAAGGTCATGGGTCAAATGTGTTGAACGACTTCTTCTGAAGAACTGAAAGGTATAGAATCTTCAATTTTGTCTGGTGGCTTCCTGGGATAAAGCCCAACAAAGTTATAGAATGACTTTGACCTACTTTGAAGTTCATAGCAGTCAAATATGTCAAATGATTCAAACGACTTCTGAAACCCTAAAAGGTATAGAATCTTCATATTTGGCTGGTGGCTTCCTGGGATAGAGCCTGACAAAGTTTAAGAATGAAAATGACCTCAACTTGCTTTCAAGGTCACAGGGGTCAAACACTTCAAACGACTTCTTCTGAAGAAGTGAAAGGTATAGAGTTTTTATTAGCTCGCCTGCCCAAAGGCCAAGTGAGCTTATATCAAGGCGGGCGTCCGTCGTCCGTTAACTTTTCCTTTAAACGAGTCAAATATGTCAAAAGCTTCAAACGACTTCTGAATAACTGACAGGTATAGTCTTCAGATTTGACTGGTAGCTTCCTGGGAAAGAGCCTAAATGAAAATGACCTTGACCTACTTTCAAGGTCACAGGGGTTAAATAGGTGTTAACCTTCAAACGACTTCTTCTGAAGATCTGAAAATCCTAGAGTTATGATATTTGGCCAGTAGCATCCTATGATGGTGTACAACAAAGTTTGCGAATGAAAATGAGCTTGACGCACTTTCAAGGTCAAGTAGGTCAAAACCTTTAAACAACTTTTGAAGATCCAAAAGGAATTTATCCATAAGATTTGGCTGGTAGCTTTTTGGGATAGAGCTAACAAAGTTTGAGAAGGAAAATGACATTGACCTACTTGCAAGGTCACAAGGAAAAATATGTCAAACAACTTCTGAAGAAGAACCAAAAAGCATAGAATCTTATAATGATATTTTGGCTGGTAGTTTCAACAGATGGAGCTGACAAAGTTTGCGAGGGAAATATCTATAGTGCAATGTAATATTTAATGAGAATAGCTTAAATATTCAGGTGAGCGATACAGGCCCTCTGGGCCTCTTGTTTCAAAAATGTCGAACCATAGGTCACTGTGACCTACTTGTACTCTGCACCCTGCTATTCAGAGTTGTACTTGCAGACCAAATCTCGTTACTCTGGTGAAATATGTAAGTGAGGTCAAAGGTAAAATGATAGGTCACAGTGACCTACTCTTTGTACTCTAGGTATAATAGTATAGACGATATGGCCCAGATAAATTTCGGAAGGAAAGGATGCAACTAATAATCCCCCCCATTGGAAGCCCAATGAGTTTGAGAAAATTTGATGGCTTTCCATCCCAGTCGGCTAGTGATCAAATATAATTCCAAGGCAGATTGTCACAGGGTTCCTGACCGACTCAATCTTGAAGAAAATGTTTGAAAATTTCTTTTTTGATTAAAGAGACCTTGAAGATGTAGTAAATCAATCTCTCTCACATTTAACAATTTTTATTCCAGCAAGCAAAAACAAATATTACTAGACCTTGTGGATCTTTAGAAGAAGTCATTTGAAATCATTTTAAAACAAATTTGACACATGTGACCTTGAATGTGAACCCAAAGACATTCAATAGAACAAATTTGATGGCTTATCATCCCAGCAGGATACATGGAAGCTTTGTTTCATGACTCCTTCGACCCTTGTGACCTGGAAAATGGGTTATGCTATTGACTTCTTTTGTTACATGAAATGACATAAAGGTAACTTCAGACCAAATTTGGGAACTAAAACACAAGTCATTTTAACAGCTCTTAAATGTTTTTTTTAGATGTTGTTTGAAATTTGAAAAATTAAATTTTAAAGCTTTTAACCCATGTTGACCTTGTACTCCGGCTAGCACTTACAGTTGACCTTTGACCTCATTACTGTAATAAAGGCACGATTCACACAACTGGTCTACATAACATATCCAAGTAGCATGACTCTAGACCAAATGGTTCTCAAAATATTGTTGTTTGAAGGTTTTAACATATTTGACCCGTAAGACAATGAAAGTAGGTCAAGGTCATTTTAATGAAGAGCATTCCATTCCAGGTACCCGTTGGCCAAATATCATGACACTGGGCCTTATGGAACTTGAGAAGAAGTTTGTTAAAGCTTTAAACCCACGTTGACGTTTGACCTTACTAGCATTTAAAGTTGACCTTTGACCTCATTACTGTAATTAAGCAATTTAATGTATAGTTATGGGGTGGGGATCACAACTGTTTCCAAGCTGTGACTCCGAAACTAGATCCCTAGGGTTGTGGCCAGACCCCAGGATCAATTATAAAATCATGACTGCATTCTTCTCTTTTTGTCCAGCATTTGTATTTATAGTCTTGGGGTGGGGATCTCAACCGTTTCAAAGTTATGACCCAGGGGTTAAATGCAAGGGTGGGGCAGACCCTGGGGTCAATTCTAATATCATGGCTGCATTCGTCTCTTTATGTCCAACAATTGTTTATATAGTTTTGGGGTAGGGATCTTAACCATTTCAAAGTTATGACCCAGGGGTTAAGTCTCCAAGGGTGGGGCATTCCCCAAGGCCATCCTGGAAGCATATGTGCAATCATCTCTTTATACTCAGCAATTGTATATACGGTTATAGGGTGGGGCTTTCAACTGTTTCTAAGATTTGACTAAGAAACTAGGTCCCTAAGGGTTCAGTCAGACCCCAGTTTCTATTCTGATATCATGACTGCATTCGTCTCGTTATGCCCAGCACTTGTATATATAGTTTTTGGGTGGGGATCTCAACAGTTTTAAAGTTATGGCCCAGGGACTATGTCTCCAAGGGTGGGGCAAGACCCTAGAGCCATCATGGAAGCAAATGTGCATTCTTCTCTTTATACTCAGCAATTGTATACTATGGTTATATGGTGGGGATCACAGCCATTTCCAAGTAATACACTTTTTTTGGCCCCACCCCTTAGCCTGGGGGGTTAGCCCCACCGTTTGTACAATTTTGAATCCCTGCCTCCCATGATTACTTCCGACCAAATATGATCAATATCCATGGCATAGTTCTACAGAAGAAGTCGTTTGTAGCAATATAGCCAAATTGCCCCCTTTTGGCCCCACCCCTCAGCCTCCTGGGAGGTCAGCCCAACCATTTGTACAATTTTGAATTTCCACCACCTAAGGATGCTTCAAGTCAAATATGGTTGATATCCACTTCTTGGTTCTAGAGAAGAAGTCGCTTAAAGCAATATAGCCAAATTGCCCCCATTTGGCCCTGCCCTTAGCCCCACCATTTGTACAATTTTGAATCCACACCACCAAGGGATGCTTCCAGTCAAATTTAGTTGAATTCCAATCAGTGGTTAAGAAGAAGTCATTTAAAGAAATTGTTGACGTACGAATGTACGACAGACGCAACTGTATGGCATAAGCTCATCTTGGTCCTTCGGACCAGGTGAGCTAAAATTAAAGCTACCACTACCTATGATATAACTCAGGTAACCGCTTAGGCCCTTGGGCCTCTTGTTTTTTTTGAAGATTTGACCCCTGTGGCCAAAAATGAAGGTTTAGGTAATACAATTGTAATATGAATTAACTTCTGATTAGACTCCATCCAAAATATCAGCTGTTCAAATGTGATACTAGGCCTTGTTAATAATGAATGATGGACAATCTGATCATTCAAATCCCCAGGTTTGATAGAAATTGTGAAATGCCTATATATAGACATAAAAAAGGCAAACACTGAAGTTGGACAAAACGCTTTTAATTAAGATCTTGTCAAATGAGATAAAAATAAAAATATTCTAGATACATTGCAAATAAACAGTATTACATCGTAAATATGTAAACAATGCTAAACTGACACATGTGTACTTGTACCCTTGATCAGAGATGTGATGTAAACAATGCTGAACTGACACGTGTGTAATTGTTCATGTCAACTATATATGTTGATTTGCAATATGATGGAAAATAGGATAAATTTGGCTAGTATTAATATTAGTGTTATCAACACTCATTGAATGAATGATTAGTCCTTCTCATTCACTGTCTAAATACCAGTTGTCCACATTGAATAAATTACAGTTGTAAAGGATAATCATATATAAATGTTCTGGTACATAAGGTATAATACACTCATTATATCTTTATGTAGTAGGATATGATATTTTCGACATTGCTAGTATTTCCAGCATAAGTGGCTGATATTTTGATTGTATAAGGATGAATTACTGGGGAAAATAAGGGAAACATGTTCCAGAATATTGACTCAATCGTGTGACATCTGAATGATGAGGTTCAAATAAATAGCATTTTCAAATTAAAGATGAGACGAAAGATATGTTAAACAATATTTCACCACCATGGGAGTTATTTTGAGGTGACTGGAAAACTGAGAATTACTTCAGAATGGATATAATTTGAAAACAATTATTGACATGGGGGAGGAAATCAAGAAATACTTTTTCTTAGCCTATATTGAAATATTGCTGCAGAAATTGTATCTCTTTGTATTGGGTAAAGGAGTAATAGCCTAGCTAGCCAAGTTGTTAGAATTATACGGCAGTCTGGGGAATGTTAGAGTTATAAACCCTACATACGGTAGTAACTGGTACATACAAACTAGCTCAGAATATGATACATGCATGTCATATTAGTTAACTACAAAAAAAGTTCTAGCTTAATTATCTATTTAACATTGTAAGCAAAACTTACTTTTCTGTTTAAATGTTATTAGGAATACATTTATCAATGCTAATGTTATAAACTTCCGTTAGCATTAGACTAGCTCTCATATCAATGGACACAATCATTACACTAACCAAAATATTTTGAGCAACTCATTGACTACAATGTTAACTTCACACTGCCGTGGATATCATAAGTAAAGTGGAACAAATACAAAGAAGCCTGCTACAAGGTATATATATATAGATTAAGATCAAGTTTCTTGACTTAGATTTATAGTTGAATTAGTACTGTAGTCAACCTGGTTACAATAGATGGGAATATACTAGAAACAAGATCAATTCTGTAGAAAAAAACATTTCCTAAACACATAATCTTTTATATATACAATAATAATAATGTAAATAAAATAAAATCTACAATAATAGAAAAAGCATTGCAATTAATAATTATTAAATGATAAATGGAATGAATGCAAGTGAATTTTGACTGTCAGATGAAAAATTTAAAGGTTTTGATTTTTGTAGACTGGCATATGAAAATGAAACATCAATTTAATACTGTAGTTTCCTTTGGCACCTCACTACTGCCAACATTTCTAAATGTAATCTTCCGTTTTTCCAGATTTTTAATGCCAAAAGTGTACTGTACAGTTTTTGGAAGCATCGTTACCAAATCAATACCTAACAGCTATCATCTTAAGCTACTACAGGATGCCAATCACACTGCTAGTATTTCTTATATATATACAGGGATAGTAAATCGGGAAGGTTAAACTTCTAGTCAAGTAGAACTTATAAGGGATAGGTAGTAAGGAAGTTGAAGCAGTTTACCACAACATCAAATATACAAGAAACTTTCCATTGTGTAAACCTACTATAAAATGTACAGTAAATTGTTGAAACGGGATGTTTCAATGCAGTAAACACCTTTCATTAGTCAACACAGAATATTGCAATAGAGTAAACATGATGTTTTAGTTCAGTAAACAAATTTCAGTGCATTAAACAAAATGTGTCGGGACAGAACGTAATTCATTAGTCAACACAAAATATTTCACTGGTGTTAATGTGATACTTTTAGTTTGGTTAATATTTCGATCAGTAAATGATATTTCAGTGAAAAAAACATGATTTTATACAGTTATCATATTAAGTGCTGTAAAAATGACATTTCAGTATACTTTTGTACAGCAAACATGTTATTTCAGTACAGTAGCCATGACTTAAGGGTGTAGCATTCATCGAGAAAGGCCTGGGCCTATACACCAAGATATGTGTGTATGCTATACTGTTTACACCTCAATCGTAAATATTATAAGTAACTACTTGAATAATTATATACATAACTCTGGTATTTGGAAATGCAGAGAAGCAGCCAAAATTAGCAATAGTTTAAACATTTCAATTGGTTTTACACCTTTGTCATCAGATAGCTCCTATAATACCTTCTAAAAAAGAATACCTCTTAATACACAGTGAATACCTCTTAATACACAGTTGCAGATGAAGAACATGAACTCAAACTTTCATTTTCTTGCTCGTTTATAAAAAATAAACCAACAGATTTTGTCTTGTTTAATCAAAACAGTTACAACAAGGTTACCGCGAGCGGTATATAATACGCCCGTCACACATTGAATGAGCAGTTGTTTGTATGATTGAAATAAATGAAGTATTTGTGAGTAATTGATATTAAAAGAGAAATCATTCAACATAACTGGTAGATCAATGAGTGCAATACAACATCATGAAACGCATGCATCGCATTAATGAAACCAAGGGGAATAACTCCAATAATAACGGTCGGATAATGGCGGTTATCGAACTTGTCCGAGCTTTCATGGTAATTAATCTTGTTGTGAAGTTTGAAGTTAATCCGTTAATAATTACTCGAGATATCAAGCGGACACTGTTTCGGCAAGTCCATAAAGGGGCATAACTCCACAAATTATGGTCGAATGTTGG